TATATATATATATATATATATATATATATATATATATATATATTCTTATAAGTATAAACGCTTGACGAAATGCTCACCTTTAGTATTAAAGCCCGTGCAGGGACTTTACGGGGCTTCGAAAATCTGTTTTAACGGAAACATCAAAACAGATGTCCTTCTGAAGCTGTGATGTATCGCAATATATATACTTCATGTCTTCATGTTTCCTCCCCAGAGGCAATGTATTTCTACATTTTAATGATGTACCTAATAGTTTTATATTACGAATTATTTCTATAGAAGTAGTTCATTATCTTGCGTATTGGAATATTTTAGGTAATGTGTTCTTGTAATACTATATCTTGGATATGTTACGATATCGCAATTGTTATATTCAAGTGTTGCCTTATATATGAGAAGACGTACATTCGTGCAAAAAAATAAAACATTCGATTTTTGAGACAATCGATACTCGAATCGATACAATTATGGTTCAAAAGTACTATCAGAAAGTCGGATTGAAAATATCTTTAAATCTAACGCTGCAATATATGGGTGCTATGAAACCTGGGAAGTATGAAATTACACGTAGTTTACGAAACTACGTGTGTACATTATACAATAGTGCTAACTCACATTCAGTATAAACCACATACGAACATATATTATACGGCATTCGAATTATATTTTTCTACCTGATATTGAGAGGCAGGTTTCACTCGAAATGCGCGTGAAAGCGAGGTTGACTAATGCTATTGACAAGATTTAGCGAATAACGCAAATTCATTGTTATGACTTTAATGCGATTATAAATTATAACATATAAATAAACGTTCCACTAATATATATATATATATATATATATATATATATATATATATATATATATATATATATACACATATGCATATATATACACATACACATATATGTGTGTGTGTATATATATATGTACATAAGGGAAAAATATTAAATACAATGTATATAATATATATATTGACATTATATGATATTTACATGTTTTATCCACCAACTTACCATCCGCTACAACTATTTCTCGAAATGCCGCGAAGTCGCAAAGTGTGTTAGCGAATAAACCAGCCACTTATCACTCTTTGCGACAACAACGGTTATCTCATCGTTGATAGTTTTGATCTCTCACACGTTTACTACGTACTTTGTCGAACAAAGTATATGTCTTCATATCCGGAAGCTAGAACGATCAGCCATATGTCGTAACTCAAAAATAACATAACTTTTTACATTGAGGAAAGGAAGAATATATATTTGCGCTTTGGAAAATCAATTAAAAGAAAATATATATAGATTTTGATCAATTGTAGAAGATGCGACTAAAAGATAAAAAAGTAGAAAAAAGGAGACGTTTGATTAATAATCTGATCATCAATCTTATTCTACAATGAACGTAATGTATTGAGTTTTTTTAATATATTACATATTTTTTCTCTCTCTAAATCGATAAAATGACACTGATCGTCTGTTCCGAGATTGTGATGCATCACGAATGCTATCTTCGAGAAAAGAAATAGTACGCATCTTATGATCTCGTATTAAGCGGCCTAACGACAAGAAAGCCACGTTTCGTTATACCGTAATGAATTAAAACGTAAATGGTCTCTGTACCTAGATATAATGCCAACAAAAGAAAAAACAACAATTTGTATTCGAACACGTATAATCGGCGCGATACAACGTTCATCATGCGTCCAATATGATGTCCAAGGAGGAAAATAAAAGTCGCTCAACGTTAAATTAAATAACACCCTCCTCCCGGGTGATCGTAGATAAATCTACACACACATACATCATCAAGTGATTCAATCGCGCGTTCCGATGCAACTCAAATGACCAGATTTAGTAAAAGGACTATCCTCGGCGTTCAGCATGGTATAATGACGTTCTATCCTAAATTCGTTGTACGATACATAAAATAAGATGTCACCTTTGGTCCCGTTCATAGAAACTTACAAATTAACTGCGAGTTAATTGCGTATGTTAGTCTCAGCATTAAATCGCTTATTAGTAGTGTTTCGATATTCGATCCGTCCACGACTAACTTTGGTATTATATTTGCTTGTTGTTTTTCTCATCGTTTCTTTTTTCTTTCTTTTATTAGTATACACCGCACCAAAGCTAGAGTCGAACGGTCCTACCGAACTAAAGGGAACTAATCTAACTTTCTCTATCCTTCCTACTTCTTCGCGTTAATTAATGAGCAATGTCGAATTCATGACTATTCAGATGAATAAAATATAAAGGTATTTCCTCCTTCTCTTTCTACGATCAAGCACATGTCTCAAATAATATGTACATTTCTCATCGCTTTGCGACAATCTCGATTGCCTCATTATTTTTCTGTACATCGTATTTACATGACCAACGCAGAGCCATATTATATTGTCGGTTTTTTATTCCGGTGTTTCTATCGACAGTAATATGTCCCGACAAAATATACACGATAAGATGAAATTCGAGAGATTTCGCAGTATCTCTTCACTAATATCGCATGGACGTAACTTGGTGATCGTGTTTTTGCTCCACGTTGAATGATGACATAAAAATCGCAAGTGCTTTTCTCTACTCTGGCGAATATATATTACACGTGAGAACATATAAATGCCTCTCAAAAAATATCTTTCACTTTTTATGTATCATTTAACATATTCTTTCACATTAGCCCTAAAATACTACTAGATAGCAAAATCAAATGACAAAACTTCGTTATTTAATGTCCCTTAGCGCTACTAGCAATATATGTATACGAAAAGACAAAAATGTACAAATATAAAAGAAATACACACGAGCCGAGTGCCTCATGTTCCATTTCTAAAGAAAGTCCTTAGTAGTATTCTAGGGTTAAAGGCAACTTTTTAATATTATTTGCATGTAATTTTTGTGGAAAAAAAAAATCTTCCAAACGGAACTAACACCCAATAAACTGTGGACAAACGATGTAAATTTGTATCTGACGAAAGAAATAAGAAAAGAAACTCGTAAATTTTGAAGCACTTTCGCCCCAAATGGATTCTTCACTCTATCCAGTTTGCTCCATAAATACAATCGTAAAGAATCTTGTGCGCAAACTAGAATCTCTCCGCAGTCTGAAATAAAAAACAATTTTCACAAGTTAGTCAACTATTCATATGACTACTTTATTTTATTTATTATTGTATTTAATTTTATTAAGAAACACAAGGATTTTTATTTTGGATACTCTTTTGTCAATAAAATTGCTTTTAAAAGTGCCTTATAAGCCTTCTGATTGGCTGTAAGTCATTTTTAGAGAAACTTTTATCGATAAAAGAGAACTGGAAATAAAGATCACGATCTATAATTAATTAGAAAGAGATCTGTGGGAATAAGAATTTAACATAAAAAAATAGAACCCCAACAAAGAACGATTTCACTAGTCGCGATCTTCCAAGCAGTACTTACACTCTTCAATTTTTCGCGTCCAAAGTTCCGGATGGACTCCAACAGCATATTCCTAGGATCTAGCTGGACAGGCATCGATTTGGGCCTCGCGCTGGCACTCTTCAACGTCACCCCCGTTATCACGGGCATGGTGGGCGGCTTAGGAGGTTGCACGTCTTTCCTGGAGCCGTCGATCGTTGACAGTCCGTTTTGATTCACTTGGCCGTTGCTCTTGGTATCGTTGACGGATATCTTGAATCCCTTCACGACCGGCATCGGCGGATTGATCTTGACGTTGTTGTTGACGTTGCTCCTGAGCATCACCGAGTCGTTTTGCTGGCCGAAGCTTTGGCCCGTGCCGTTCACGCCTACGACAGACGTGAACTTCCTCAGTCGAGAGTTCTGCTGCGTGCCGTTCATCAAGGACTGACCTTTGTGCGGGAGGTTCTCGTTCTCGTTGCTTGCCCTTGCGAATTTGGCGTGGCCATTCTGCTTGACGCCCATATCTATCTCCTCAAACTGTGCGCCGTGACAGTCCGCGGAATGTCTGTTGACATTAGCGCGTTTAGGTTTCGGTTTAAAATTCACATGCTGACCGAACGTCTTTGTCAATTCTCTGAAATTCACCGGCGTGGTGTCGATCTCACTCTCGCCGTTTTTCGGCGTCTCCTTCACCTCGATGAAGCTCTTTTTCAGTTCGACGCCCGTCACGACAGGTCTGTCCTCGTCCGTTCTCAACGAATCAGCGGACACATTGACTCGGTTTGACAACGGCTTTTTGAAACCGGACGCCGTCGTGTGTGCGATTAGCGACTTCTGCGAGAACTCGTCGCGACTTTTAGAGTCGATCTTGATCTCGTGCTTAACGACGTTGTACTTGCCGCTATTGTTATTGTTTGTATAGTTAGAAGTATCTCTCTCGTCTTTTGCGCCGTTGATGCTGACCACGGTTTTATTGCCATTCGCGTTGCTCCTTCCTAGCTTGTAATCTGTGTCCATTTTGATTTGGACGTTGACGCTGGGTCTTTCCGACCAGCTGCCCAGACTGATCGCAGGTGGACCGGCGTAAGTGTAACGCTTCGTGCTCTCTTCTCTCGACTGCCTGCACTCCGCCGTTTCCGTATCTCGAGATTCGCGTGTCGAAACTACATTCGTTTTGTTCGAATGTTCGTTAGACCCAGCCTCGTATCTGTGGGGAAATTATTTCACATCAGTGAGAAATATATTAATATATATAAACTAAACTAGTAGCTATCTATGTCGGATAGTAGTAGTTTAGTAATGGATCACAATATTGAGAACAGCGCACCAGCGATAGATTATTCAAATAACAATTACTCTCAGTCTCTAAATTTATTAAAACTCAGAAAACTCAAGTTAAAAGACAAAAGAAACGAAATAATACTCACTTCGTTTTTTCGATTGATAAGGCACTGTTATATTCTTTGGACACATTTTCTTCCGCCTGTTGAGCATTCTTCAACTGCGGCAAAATGCTTTTCAGCACCTGAGTTTGCATTCAAGTCAAAATGAAAATTATTCATTACAAAGTTGAGTAAGTTAATTTCTTTAACTAAATAGAGTTTAAAATTAATGACCCTTAAATTTTAACTCAGTTTACATCAAAGGTTAACATGAATAAAATTAACTTAATTAAAATTTAAGCTAACGTTGAATTAACTTATTAAAGTTAAAAGTTAATTACACAAAATAATATACGTTTTTGCATAATTTAATCGAAGATTATATGTAGATAAAAAAGTAGTCTTTTATTAAAAGAATACTGACTGTTTTATGTTCAGGATTTCATACAAGAAAGGAGCATTGAAAAAACAGCAATTTTTATTTTTTTTTATTCTATATGTTAGTAACTTGCAATTATTTAAATGCTGATAAAGAAATTATTTTAACTGATATAAAAAAAATTAATAAGTTAAAGTTAATGCAGTGTAAAATAACTAGTTTAAGTTAAAATTTGATTAATTTAAAATTAACTAAATTAAGTTAAAAGTTGTTAATTTTTTAACGTTTCAACTTAACTTTTAACTAGTTATTACCGGATTCTGTAAATGATAATGTAATTTAATATCCTACATATTAAACTATCATAACGAGCTCGTATCTATAAGCTGATTTTAATAAAAAAAAATTTAGAAAAAAGTACTCCGGCAGCGTATCAATAGCGAGATTACGATACAATCGAAGAAATAATAGCATACCAAAAATAGCGTGACTTCCGTGAAAACCAAGTAATGGGAATAAGTGATGAATTAGAACCCAACTCAAAATGTTGCTAAATTTACACACGTTTAACAGTGTAAATTTAGTAACTAATATCTTGTGTTCATTTCTAATTGACAATTTACTCGCGTTACTTGATTTTAATTCTTACAAACCATTTAGTAATATAATTCTGTGAAAACGTTTATACGATTAGATACCTCCTGTCTCTCTTTCTCTAAAATACACTTCAACTGCATCTCTATTCATCTCCCATCTTTCTCTCCTCCAACGCAACGGAGTCGAATCTATTCTACGCTCAGTCAATCGTGCAGCAACCCTGAATTACCTGTAATGATTGTAATTGCTTCTCTTTGGTAGATTCCTCTTGGTGTTTCAATATGTTGTCCCTCCACTGCGAGAACTTCTCGTTGGTCCTCGGCGCGTCGACGTTCAAGCTGCTGACGCTCGTGGCCTTTTTCATCTCCGCCACTTCAGCGTACGGCTCATGCTTCCTCTCGCTCATTGTTTGCGTTTCCGCCTGGTACTTGGCGCTGTTCGTCATCGATATGTAGCTCTTAGACCGTTGGACATTGTTGGCTTTCTCATTAATGATGGCGTTGAGATTTTGCCACCTGTTAATAGACGGCTCGTCTTGATTGCGAATCTTTGGCTCCGTTTTGCAGTCGGTGTTGTTGCTCGCGTTCGGCTCTTCGGCGCTTTTGCCCGCTGACATAATCTTGTTGTCGTGCGACGACACACTGTTCATCAAACGCCCAGTATTCCTCGCGCCGTTCTTGTTCTCATAACCGCTTAAGCCAGCGTTGCTCCTCGACAGCGTGGCGAATGTTTTGATGAACCTCTCGTCCGAGCTCCTCGCGTAATCAACGGACTCTTCGAATTCATCGAAGATGTCCAGGCTTTTCTGCTTGGTGTATGTGGTGATGGTGAAGTTGGACAAGGTATTGTCCACGGGCGCGATCTTCGGCGCAGACATATTGTTCATAAACCTTCGGTCGAAGTCTTTACCGACAGACTGCGCCAAAGTGCCGTTCTCGATCTTGTTCTCCAACTCGGAGATCATCTCCTTCCGCGGATCCGCATTAGTTTCCGACTTGTGAGGAACACTCACGGACGCTTGCTTGGCGACGCTCTGTTTGCTCGTCGCTCGCTCCTTATCGTCGATCTCCATTTCAGACGCCGGATCTGTTTTCTCGCTAGCTTTCCTCGCAACGCAGCTCACGTCGGCATCGTTCAACAGACTCTTCGACTTCCCTTTATTCTTCAATTCATCGTTCCTACTGCAACTGTCCGTTGCGTCGGTTGGCTCCACGGCCGAGTGGATCACCTGCGGCTCTTTGAACGCTTCTACGGAGCCGAGTGTGACCGTGTCGTAGTTGTCGAACACGGGCGAATGCGAGTCGCGGAAGGCGCTCGGCGGCGCCGGCAGCTGGTACTCCCAGTCGCTGATGGACAGGTCCTCGCCCATCGCCGACACGTAGTCGGAAGTGTCCTGTTGCGAGTTCGTGGTCATATTTGGCGTGCTCGAGCTCAACGTGTCCGCCGGGAAGTCCACGCACGACGAGCTGGACATCTCGTTCAGCTGGTCCTTTGAGTTGGAAGGCTTCGAATTGGTGCCCACGTTGGGAATGTCGCTCGTCGTTTGCACGGACGCGCTGTTGGTGTACTCGAGCTGCGAAGGTTCCGGAGACGGAGAGGTCGCTGGTAGCGCGTTGGACAAGGTGTCTGACACCTTCTGCAGCAGGATATCAGTCTCCGACGGTGTGCCGTCCTTGGCAACTGATGAACATGCGAACAGAGTGAAAGGTGAGTTCGCGGCAGGTCGATCCTGCAATCGATGCAATCTGTGTAAACGCTCTACGCTTTTTCTCGCGAGTTTGTACAAATTACCACTAAGATCCTCGCGATTTACAGTTAATCAATTAAAGTTAACGACACTTGAGGTGGCGAATTGAAAATTGTTTTATGAGGAAAATTACAAGGAGCTATTAACGAACACGGCGAAACGTGAGAAACTTCTATCTTGCAATCGTTCTCATTTTGTGTGTGCTTTGTGAAATGAGAAGTAATTTGTATGACATGTTAGGATACGACAAGCATGAGAATGTAACTTATACAAAACTAAAGAATCTGACCGAGAACGTCGATACACATCGAAACGGTAAAGTTTAATATTGCTAAAAATATCTCCACCAACAAAATGTTAAGTTTATTGTCTATGAATAAATTGTATAGTATGTAGATGTCAAGAGAATATCGAGTGTTTTGTACGATATATTAATATGGATTGAACGTGTAGGTATAGAAAGTTATTTCAGTATACACATGCAAGTAACCATCACCTTTTATATAAGCGGATATTATTTAAATCTATTTACACACAAACTCATGAAGAAAATGTTCAGATTTCTCGGACTATAAAGCAATTGTAAAGTACTCATGAATATAATTCATATGCGTTATTAACACTTTCAGTCTTAGATTTAAATAAAAAAAAGAAACTAGATAATCTTCCAACATTTAGTGCTAATAATTCTGAGACTTTGTCTCAGAAAAAAATACAAATTTGTATACGGAGACAATATTATAGTAAAAATTATAATAGAATTGTAATCCTGGGTCATGCAGAATTATGATCGAAATTATTAATTATATATTTGTTTAAAAATATTATGTGCGTTTGACTTTTTACTGCAAAGTTATTGTAATCATTTGGATGTTTTTTATATGATATATCAGATAGATCAAATTTATTATAATAATTTACGCTACAATTCCAGTATAATCCAATTTTACAAAAAATATTATAAAAAAATATTATTTTAATGTAATTTTTACCACAATTTTCTCCATGTACAACGCGAATTCTAGAATAAAATAGTTATTCTGTTAGAGAAAAATTAACTATTGAAAGTAAGTAGATATAATTCTGGAATAAAATAAAAAAAATAATTCCAGAATAAAATAAAAATAAAATAAAATTCTAGAACAAAATGTTGTTGTTCACAATTGAAATTTAGTTCGGTCTCAATTTCAAAGTTTGAAATTTAGAAGAGTTCAGTCTCGGTGAACATAGAATACTATTTCATACTGCAACATAAGCAAGACTGAAAGGGTGAAAAACCCACGGAATGAATAATAAGAGATGAAGATAAAAGTAGTTAGTAGTATAGCGACATGCACCTGTGACTAATCCACCGCACGATTCTCCTTTATCTACATCCACCTCCCTTGTACCATCAGTGCATCGTCCCGCACCGGGCTGTTCCCGTTCCTTTTCCACGGCGTGCGAGGACATCGAGGTTCGCGCTTCCGGTAGATTCAAGTTCAACGCATACACGATGTTCTCTGGAGGCGAGGTGAGGTATCTCCTCTGTCTCTTGAGGATATCCATCTGGAAGTCGTCCGACTTGGACTGGCTTCTGACTACCCTCGCTCGCTTGGCATTCCTCGCGTTATCGTGCGATTCTCCAGCCTTGCCGTTCGGCTTCTGACACTCCTCGCCGATTTCCGTCGCGCACTTCACCTGCGAACGCTCACCGAGTTGCTGACGACGATCCGACGCGGCGAAGCTCGGTAAAACACCGTGCTCCTTTATGTCGTCGAGACGCTCGCACTTGGGTATGGTGGAGATCACCGTGCAGGTTTCCCTGTCTTTTCCTAAGGCGCTGCTCTTCACCGTCACGTCTCCCGAATGAGTCTGCTTCGTCGCCTCAACATTCTCTTTGGCGTCGCGGCCAGGAACCGTTTTCTTCGGCGACCTGGGCGGCCTTTCCGGGCAAACGGCTCGATAATGACGCAGTGGTTTCGCTCGTTCGACTCTGTTCGGCTCAGCCACGCGATCCGGTTTGGTCACACTCTCGTTCAAACAATCATCCTCCGATGACGCGCGAGCGCATTGATTCTTGCTTTCTCCGTGCGAATCCACGTTCTCGCGTTGCACCTCGCGATCTCGCCCCGATAAGCCGTCCTCTTGCCTCTCAGACGTGACTTCGAGCGACAACATGCTCCTCGAATGCGGCACGCTCTGGCCCGCAGAGACGGAATTCAATTCACACCTCGTGTCTTCGTCGTGACTCGAAGGTTGCTTCTGATTGGGCCATTCGAGACCCTCACTGTCATCAGCAATGTTTGACATTTCTTCGTCTCGATTTGAAAATCGATTCGGACTGAATGATTCGAGATCTTTAACGTCATCAGCAACATTTGACACTCTCTCATCTTGTCTCCTTTCACCCTCCTCCGGAGAGTGCTCTTGGATTTTGGAGCGAGTCTCTTCCGCTTCAATGTGTATCGGTCCCGTAGACTTACAATCTGATTCGACGTTGCTCTCCATCTCGTGATGACACTGATTTGGTCTTAAGGATGCGTCATCTTCAGCTATGACGTCGCTGATAGTTCCCGACAACTTTCTCTGTTGCTGGCTCGACTCATCTTCGTCGGGAGGCGCACACTTGTCTCTCGACTTGGAGTGCGCCTCTTCTCCTCTTTCGGTACACGCAGAAAGAGCACCTTCGTCCAACGACGTCGTCGTGTCCTCGACACTCGAAGCGAAGCTGTGCGCTTCATCGACGCATTCTTCGCGCGATAAACCGCTCGTGCTATCGCGTCCCGTACTCAAAGTTCTGGGCAGTGCCAAAGGCGGTTGGGCTACTTTACGTTTAGGTGCTTTCGGAGGTACCGGAGCGCTATTAGCCGCGTTAATCTTTCGAGGCATGGGAAGGGGTGCAGGTTCTCCAACTAGTTCGGATAAAGAAAAGAAAACAACCGTCACCGAGAATACAAGCTGACAACAAGCAGCGGGTGGGACTGAATCGGGCTGTGTGTCTACGGGGGATACCTGGGAGCTATTGAATTGCGTGCAACGAGACTACGTGTCACTGCCTGAGAGTTCTGACAGAGGTGCAAGATTAGGTTTCAATGTAAATTCGTGTCTGTCTTACCTTCTTTACGTTCGAAAGATTCGGAGTCATTTGGTCTCTCAAATGAAGGGGAATGTATCGTCGTAAGGAAATTACGGTGATAAAATGAAATTTTATAGTAACAGATTAATAATGTTACAATAACGTACAGAAATCAAGTAATAATTCTGCAGCCACTAACAGTTGCTTCATACTTTTGTTGCTCGATTTGGCACGACTAACAGCCGAGAAAGTTAAATGACTCCGAACCTTCTCTTTATGTATATACAGATGTGCATCTAATGTGTACAGTGTTCCAGGAATAAAATCAATCGAAAACTTTCCAACAGTGTATCAGACATAAAGATTAGGGTAACTTAGATGAAGACGGTGAAGGCAGGCGTGCCGAATATTACGCAGCGCTTTGCAGATACTTAATCTTAATGCATAGTTCAATTATCATGACATTTAATTATGGGAAACTGCAAGACTCAAGAAACTGCAAGGAAAGATGACAAATTTCGAATGAAAATCTAATCCACACTCGGAGAAACCAAAGATCATGATCTCTGTTCCTATAAAACGTCTCTATTCAATTTAACATAATATAATGTGATATATAATTTATAATATAATATAATATAATATAAATAATATAATTAACATAACACAAAAGAAATGTGTTATACGTATAATAACAAGAAATACTTAAAAACAATATAATCTCATCCTTAGCGGAATTCATTTTATCATATTGCCTCAAGAGAACTTTTTAAAATCAAAAGGAAAATATTTTAACGCCTAAGAACTTTGATTGCAAGGTGTTCTATTTCCTGCAATCTTATATTCTAAGAGAAAACTTTTACTGAAAAAGTGTCTCTCTTCTAATGGAGTAGATTATTGATCGGAAATCTACTAGATGTTATTCTAATTTTTTCTTTAGAATCAAGAAGCAAGCTTGCCCTCTCATTGGAAGAAATTTCTATGAAGAATAAATTTGCATATACACTGTAGACAAAAAATAAAATTCCTCCAATTTCAAGAATATTGTGCTTAGAATATTTCCCTTGTGGTCTTAAAAGTCTTTTTGAGACTATATATATATCTGTATATATATACAGGAGGAGGATTCCGCTAAGGATGAAATTATATTTTTTAGTATGTGGAGCATTTGTGAAATTTTACACAAACTCGCCGGCTCGACTCTCGAGGATCGAATTTAGCTGGACCAAGAAACGATTCCAGCTGTCATTCGACTCCTGACGACTGACCAAGCCAGGCGGCGGCGGCTTCAGGATGCTTAACTTTCTCTCTTCCGATTTACCCTCGGTATGATTTATAATAGGCAACGAGGGCAGCTCGTCGATGTCGCTCGGTATGGAATCCATGGGCGCCACTTGTATGTCCAGTGGCCCGGTGGAAATCGCGAATATCTGCAGAGTGCTTAACGGCGGAGGAGACAAATTGCTTTCCGCGTAAACCTCCGCGAAATTGCACGGCTCGCGACTCTCGCTTGCAGAAACGACGGGATTCGCACGGCACTTCGTCGTGCTTAGCCTGCTTAATTTCGGAGAACGAACAGCGGATTCCAACGAGGCCGGCGTCCACGAGTGCCTCGAGCGAAGACTCTGCGACGAAGTCGAAGCCGGCTTTAACCTCGCCAGCTGAGTCGCCCTCGAGACCGTCGCGCTGTTGTGAAAGCTCATGCTGTGCTTCCCGCGGCACTTGTCGCTACGTGAGAACTCTGAACTGTTCTTCAACAATTTCGGCGTGCTCTCTACGTTCGATTCCGCAGCTTCCCGATTCGATGACGTCTGCATCCTCGATGGTCTCTCGCTCGTACGATCATTTCCTCTCGCGCAACGTTTGTTATAGATCGATCTAGTCGATATGTTCGCGACCAGATCACGATTATTGAAAGAAACGGACGTTTCGCGACTATCACACGAACCTGGTTTCACCTGACAACCTATGAGAGCCTGGGATTTTTGACAGATCCGCGACACTTGGCCCCTCACGTCCCGAATGTGATCCTTGACAGCGGTGTCGAGCGAGACGTCATTTGCGCGACTAATGACGGTGACGGAATCGTCACGTTGCCTGCGGTATCTCTGACTAGTGGCGCGCAATTTGCTCCTCTCCGACGCCGAGAGCCTGTGCTTCTCAGAAGCGAACGTGGTGGCACGCGATGGCACTGCTTTTGTACCTTCACCGACTTCGCGCGGGTGACTTCGCGTTTTGGGATTATGGGGAGAAGCATGCGAGCAGCTGGCGCTACGCGCTAGCTTACCTTTCTTGGCCGCTACTCTAGCTTGCTCTAGCCTCGGGGCTGCTTCTACGGGCACAACCGCCACTTCTGGGTCCACTTTGACGCGGAGCTTACGGTCGACCGGGTCGGATTTAACGGAACGCGCCTCGACGTTCTGCTGCGCTACGTTGGACTCGCCGGATTCGCAAGTGACGGTGGCGGTGGCTCCCGCCTTCGCTTTGTAATCCAATTGGCGCATCGACTGCGTGCTGACACCGATGTCGGAGTTGGCCTTTGGACAGCCGATGTCAGAGCTGGCTTTGGACGGCGCGCCGATGTCCGACGGCGGCTTCGACGGATCCATGTCGGACGTGAGCGATTCCTCCGAATCGACGATACGCTCCAAGGCCTGAGTGGAAATAGCTGACGAGAGTGGTCTCGGCGCCGGTGGGGGAGGAGCGGCTCTCTTCTTTCGGAGACCTATGCAAGCAATTTGTGTTGACCGAAATATTGAGAGTGGCATAATACGCAAGACTACATGAACGCGTGAGAACAGAGAATTGCTTTGTCATATTCGCGTTTCGCTCGAGTTCTTTCGACGATTGCGCTTACGCGCAACGAGCAATCTGCGTTCAGATTATATAATGCGTAAAGCAAAATTCTCATGAAATTAACAATATGATGTATAGAAAAAATTCAATAAGATATATAAAAAAGGTCTCAAATTTGTGTGAATGTGTTTAACAATGAGTATACTTTAAAATATACTTTGTGGAAGATAACAGAAATGTGTGATGATATATTTAAGTGATGGTATATTTTAAGATTATTATCACGAAAATATCCTTTCCACTCAAAAAGGCGAGTAATCGCTTTTCTTAGTAATGAAGTAATGTTTTTCTTCTGTACTAGTATTTACATTCAAGTTCAATAAAATCGAAGAATTAATGACAGCTACAAACCAATGTAATTAATCTATGCAACGAATAACTAATATTTATATACTGTTCATTACAAATATATATCCACTTGAGAATAACAAGTATTAAAAACAATTACGTATTCGTACTTCGCGAAGTACCAAGTAGCAAGACTCCGTAAGACCAATGATTAATGTGATAAGTCTTACCGGTGGAGCTGAGCGAGGTGCTGCTGATTCCCCGAGTGAGCGTGCCACCACCAGTCGCGGCTACCGCCGTCGTCGCGGCCGCGAGGTTGCCCAGACTCTTGCTGGACTGCGAGGTCTGCGCCAATTTTCTGGGAGCGTCAGACACTCCCGGCGCCTTGCTCCTCCGCGGTAGGGTCTCCGGCAGTCGTGCGGCCGAGTCCGGATTGTCGCTGAGAACGGAAGCCTCGTGGTAACCCGAACTGTCGCTACTGTTGCGGCTGTGATTGATCACCATCTTGTCCTTGCCGCTGTCTTGCTCGGACGAGTCCTGGTCGATCGCAACCGCATCGGTGGGCGGCTTCGGGGCTGGTCGGCGCTTTCGCTGCGGCCGAGCCGGCGGCTGAAGAGGACTGGCACTCCTTCCGGTCTCGTCGCTCCTGGCCGGCGACACGCTGCGACCGCCGAGGCTGTCTGTGCTCAGCGAATTCTCCTTGGATTTCTTGAACATGAAGCCGAACACGCTCTGCTTCGTCTGCTGCCGGCGCCGCTCCTCTTGCCGCTGCAGCGCCATTATGTCCTGCGTGCTGAGTGTCGGGCCCAGGGTCCGGGCCTGCTTCGCGTACAGAGTCACCTCCTGCAGATGGTAGTCCTGCAGCGACAGCGACAGGTCCAGTGTCGCCTCCAGATTGGCTGTGAACAGAGAGACGTCGGTGAGACTCCAAATACATACATACATCACGTTAATAATTGACACGTTCTGTTCACGTGGGCCACCAGAGACCCACGCTGATCTTCTCGTTCAGGTAGTTTAATATTTTGCCTCTAAGACAAAACATAAACATTAATTGCTTAATCACGAAGTCTTACAAATATCATAGGACACATGTTACTTAACAAATATAATAACAAGGTATTATATGTAAATACAACTGGTGGCTCATGTGTCGTAGATGACAAGTCACTTGGAATGAGCCCGGCACAGAACACGTTAATGACTTGCTAATCGACATGACATTGAATACGGTTCATGACTTATGCGTGATGTTACGTCAAGTTGCACGAACAATTGCAATCTCCCGCAAAGTCTACCGCGTCTCAGGGAAAAATCTCGATTTGTCTTTACGCGCGACAGAGATGGATCTTTCTCGCAGTGATTGCCCGATGAAATACCCGACGAAAGCTCCACGAAATTGCACACTGTATAGATCGGGTTCTTCCTGAAGCGCGCGGAGGCACGATTTTCGAGCGGCGCTCTCACCGGGCGAACACACTCGCGGGTTTAAGGCATACCCTCTACCTGTGCTACCAGCGTGCCCGCGGGAGCATCGGCGGCGTCTCGCGTCGCAGTGATCGTCCGGGGACTCTCTCGTCGGCGCGAGCGTGAATGCACCGGGAGGTATGCGAGCGGGAACTGGAATTGCGCTCTCTCCGCTCCCCTCGGCGCGTTGCAGCGCGGCGCGGATCAATTATAAAGCGTATACGCGAGCGAGCACGCGGCCAGGTAGGCAGGCAGGCAGGCAGGCAGGCAGGTAGGTAAGTAGGCGCGGGGCGTCGGCGTTTACGTTCGCTCTTCCTCGCGAGGACGACGAGAGGAGAGCACGGCCTAACGACTGGGAGTAACAAGTGCTCGAGGAGCCAGCCGGCAACCTTGCGATAGCGATCTCAGCAGCCGGCCGCTGTAACTAGCTAACTGAAATATCTCGTGCACGGCTTGCGCGTCGCGATATACGCGGTGTCCCGTCAGCTAGAGGTGGAAGTGTGAGATTTGTCGGCGTGGAACATCGTTGACGGTAGTGCGCTTGGCGGCGATGCGCGGGTCTATATTCGAGGAGATCTTCGTACTTCGTAGCTAAGTACACTTTTTAAAGCACTCGCTTATTATTTTCCACAGTGATTAGGCGTAGAGCAGCCTTTTTTATTTTACGGTCTTTATTGCGTCTAATGAAGCTGATCCGCCTAGATTGCGTTTCGTAATGTTTAATGGCATGCTACTACGTATTTATGCAAATTGGAAGAGAAATTGGAAGGGAGTAAGTTATTCATTAACGTTGTTACCCGATCGAACTGTCAGATAGATAACTTTTTGTTCGATTAAAGTCGAATAGGAAAGAAATTTGATAGTCTTCCTTATTATATGCCTGATTGGTGAAAGGCGAAGTGTTCGCGCTCATTTCAATTTTTATCAAGAAAATCTCAGAATCAATTGCACGTTCCGCGGGCCACCTTGTATAAGTTGCGCGCTGCTTCCATAAAGATGCGCGACGGCGAAGTGACTCGCGGTCATCTCCGAGTTACTGAACTTCCTCCTCGCCGTGAAAAGCGACCGCGAACTAGGAATGAATAGCGTGACTTCCAGATCTTGGACGGATCAGACACACCGAATTCTTATAATATATATACTCGGAAAATAAAAAGACACTGTGCACATAACCAGAAATATTTAGTTGTGAGCTGCATCACCCTGATTATCTTTGCGTGATGGTAATATGCTTGATATGACTCAGTCAGTCACTTTGGTGCATTAACTACATATACAATGTAATTGCGTCTGATTTAGTTGTGTCAACTGAAATCAGGTCGAGTGACATTTACAATGGACACATTATAACAATTATTTTTGTAATTTTGTACAATTAAAATATCTCGTACATACGATTTGTTTGGCATTATCGTTACTTGTCAAGTAGAATATATACACTGAAAAAAAAAGATTACGACGATTTGGTAATAATTGTCCAGCTTGTGTTATAGGTACTAAAATTTAGTATCTATAACACAGGCTGGATAATTATTACCAAATCGTCTAATCTTTTTTTCAATGTAGAATTAGTAAGAAAGCAAAACACAAACAAGTAGCAATTAAATTTGTTGATTGCAATTACCAAACATCGGGTCGATCTCAATTTTAATCAAATTTTTATACGGTGTGCCAAATTTTTGTTTCGACAACAAAATCCTTTCTTCAATGTACACTCTAGTTGTAACAATCAGATATCGTCACTGTGACTCAACAATTGTTCTGTGGTTGCGGCAATCACATAATTAGTTGTTCCATATATTACTATTGCCGCAATCATTATATGTGAGCCAACTATCCTGTTTCCTTCGTGTGGTGATTATAATTATATCTTCATGTGTATGTGTTTAAAGATACACACACACACACACACATATATATATACACAGGGTGTCCCACTTAAACCAGGTAACCTAAATATCTCCATTAATAGTAACGATACAAAAAATATTTTATACGTAAATTGAGTGGTATGAAGAGACCAATATGTTGCAAAAAAAAATTATTTTTTCAAAGTAAGTTTTTTTAAAGTTTTCAAAGTCATTGATTTTGCATATAAGTGCATATTTTTTTATTGCATCATGTAGCTGATGTTAAAATACGTTCAGATATGTACATAACATTAACTTTAAATTGATCTTTGAAAATTAAAATTGAAATGAAAATTAAAATTAAAATGAAACTAGTGCTATCGTACTACGAGTGACCTCTGAAAGCCTTAAGATTTGATCATTTCCAAGCAATTTATCAGTTTATCGGTTTATCGTTCGCTTTTACTCAAGTTATTCAAAGCAAGAGAAAATTGAAGGAGATATTTAAGTGGCCTGGTTTAGATGGGACACTCTATATATATATATAATGATAAATAAAATATGTAATTATATTACTTTTAATTGAGGACAGAAACGAGCGTTTAATATGCACACATGCAACTCGGAGCGAGCTTAACCGGAAAATGAGCACGTGTTCGAACGAATCGCTGAAGTCGAACGAAGACTTTCATCGGCGCGTAATGCAGAAAGCACTTCCGGAAAATTGGATTGTGTCTCTGCTATTTATGTACACGCAAGATCCAAGTCTGGCTTCTGAAGCCGTATTCGCGTGCGTCAGTCGGCTATGACAGACGCTCCGTAAAATTGTTAAATTGCTCGTTCCTAGTATCTATCATCCTGCTGCGGACGTTCTTACGCGAAGTTCTTCGATGGCAAGATCTATGTTTAAGCCTGATATTCTATTTTTCGCGATCTTCATCTTTTTCAGGGATATTGACACATATTTGTATATTTAGATACAGTTCCATTTTTTTTTATTTAATTAAAACATTATCGATAAAAATATAACGAACATTACTATATATAATAAATATTCACTACATAGAAAAAAGATTTGTATTAACGAGAAGTTTGATTTTAATGAACGAACCATCGCGTTTTTGTTGAAGAAAATGAAATTTCTGATTCTTAGAATTAATTCTTAGAATTAACTTAGAACTAACTTCGAGGCATAAGAAACAGAAATTTTATATCCTTCGCGTTGGTTCATTCCTCGAGACCAAACTTCACATTTTCTTTCTCTGTGCACAGAATTTCATAACAAGGAAAAGAGAAACTTGTCATATGATTGACAATGTATGATTGTAATATATTTCACTATTTGTCACTTTAAAATTAAATCTGTCTTGAATAAATCCGTCCTTGAAGAAGTTAATCTTTTCTTATCTGTCAACTGTTTTCTTTTCTTCAGTCACACGCTATTACATGTACACTAAGAGCCAAATATTTGCAAATTTATTTGTAGAATAAAGTTTGTTTAGTTACAGGAATATACTTTATTTCCCGGAAATAGATTTTATATCCTACAAAAATTAATTGTTAAGCATTCTCTTCCTCAGTGCGAGAAAATTGGAGAAACGACATTCACGACCGGAGAATTTGCGAGGGAGGAGGATTTACGACGGGAAGATTGCACGTATATTGAAAGTAAAGTATCGCGGCAACTAACGTCTGATGCAAAGCTCTAATAATTACGTGAGAAAGAGTGCGGCGCGACATCGTTGTCGCCGATTAGGCATGGAAACCCGTCGCGATCCATTGAATATTTATTCGACAGCGGAAAGAATGCGGAGTCGTTACGGAAAACACAATTTCGCAATACGTCTGCAAGTACTCATTGCCGCAAATAGTCAGCGCGATCGACGACGCGGTGCACGATATTTGCATATACCTTTTAATAAACATTAGCTGAGCTCCGTTAAGTTCATCGAGTCGGGCAGCCTTGGCTGCCTTATCTCTACGTGTGAGTCCCCGTGAAGGCGCCGATAAGGGCTGCTCGAAGCCGCGCGCACATCATTCGTGTAAAAAGTGCGCCGCGTAGCCGTTCAAAAGGAAGACGACGACAACGTAAACAGAACTCGCTCGCGCTCGCACACGCGAACGATTCGAGACGTGCGAAAAAAGATGACATGTCATTAAAATCCAGGCTACGCTTATTACCCGGTTTATTGCTTACGTCTTGCTTATATCAGCGCGGTCAGTGACGTTACGTAACGCGAGCGTATGCGTGAACCAACGCGAAATTGTGTAATATTTATAGCCGGTCAGACTGCCGTGAGTCTGAGGAACTTTTCGGACTCGAATGGAAGTGCGACTCGGATAGCGTTTTGAGTGCGACTTCGCCGAAGATGATTCTATTAAAAGAACTCACGAAAAATCGCACACGAGAGGCGTGGACTTTCGCGCGACATGGAATCGGTAATTTGTATCTGTTAGAATTTTTAATGCCGTTACATTCCCCGGCAGTCACCCGCGCGCGACTACCCTCGTCCCAACTTCCAAACTCGTTCGTCCGATTTAAATAAAATTTCTCTAAAAATGACAAGCCACGCTACTGGTTTCAAATATCAAACGCTCGTCTCGCGAACGAATCTATTCCCACTTGGCAATGCTCGACGACGCAAACACGTATTCGCCGATAAAACCAAGTTTATCGTCTCAGGTGGGTCGATCGCGGCGTAGGAGCAGTCGACGTTTCAATTTCTCTACCGTGACCCGCCATCTGTGGCGTTGCGCAAGTCATCTAATTAGTATTTATATAATACGACAACAATTGCCGCGGAGCGACATTAATCGGATTGCAGAGATATACGCCCTTAATGCTCGTATGCGTGCGGTCGCTCCAGTATCGTGTAAGTGTCATTACGCAAGGCTATTACACGCCATTCCTTTGAGATAATATGACAAGTAATTTGTCGAAATAATAAAAGTGATAGAAATGTTGCTTATCGCTGTAAATTATCGCGCCACATATGAAAAGTGTTATTTTACTGTAAGAAAAGCGATTACTTAGCTTATTTTCTTTCTTTCTGACAATAGTTGTCCTTAACAAAGAATATTTTCTTAATAACAGTCTTAAAATATGTTTTATCCCACATTTTAGAGAAACTCATTATCATGTACTTAAAAAAGAAAGAATTTATTCTTTGTACAAGAATACTACAAAACTATTTAGGACCAAAAAGTTAATTGAACTTTATGAGGTAAGCAAACCGAATTTTTAATCTAATATTCTTGATTGAAATGTTAAACTCATTAAGATTTATTCAAGAAAAAATTTCATTTAAAACTTTATGAAGAAAAAGGAGTTGGTTTGTCTTCAAATTTTTGTCTTGAAAATTTAATATACTCTCTCTCTCTCTCTCTCTCCTGAAATACTAAACTTACTAGGATTCAGAATTTTGTTTAAATTTCATGGTTATAATGAACTTATGATAGATTTGCAGATATGTAAACTTATAAAATACTTGAAGCAAGCAACATTCACTTGAATGCATTTTTCTATGTGCATAATTTTTTTTCTAAAACAACATTGAGTTCTCTCCGTTAGTGTTACACACTTTTTACACTTACACACTCTTTACACTTACACACCGAGAAAATATAATGAAAATCACATTAAAATTATATTTTCTGTTGCAATGTTTATTGTAAAGCTGAACTATACTGAAATGGTAGTATAAATCATTATAAAAATAATAAATTTGACTATCTGATGTATGATATGTAAATTGCAATTGACTTTCATTTTCGGTGCTCATTAAATTATCGCATTGCAACGTTTGATTTCTCGGATTCACATGTACGGTTTCACGGACGTAAATCAAACGCGAACGCGTGTATGCCAAGAGCGCGCACTCACTCACCTGGATGACGAAGCTCGTACTTGTTTCTGTCCAGATTCTTCTCGCGGCACACTTCGTCCAGAATTTCTCCCAGGTTCATCTTCGGACTGACCCTCGACACGTACAGCTGATTTCTCGGCAGATGCACCTGCGCCGATGATCAAGTTGTTGCGTATCGCATTACCGGGGTCGATTCGCGCGGCGAATACACTCTCTCGCACTTCGTAACTGAGATTTCCCAAATGAGAGCCTCGCAGAAGCCAGAGAGGACACTTCTTCGTTTACTTCCAACGTTTGTCGGTAACGAGAAAGTACGCGCGGGTCAAAGTGCCTCTATTTGTTACAAGCTCGCGCAACAGATACGCCGTTGCGTGGCCTCTTAGAAATCTCTCATCCACGCTCGCGGGACTACTCGCGCGCGGATTCTAAATTGCGAAAGTACACAATGAAAAATAGACTCGAGGAGTTTCTCAACTCTATTAACATACGTCTGTTTGCCTTCTCTATCTTTTTCTCTTTTTAAGAGTTAGCGAACTTGTTTGCCAAAGATGCTCAAACACAGCAGGTATCGTGTGCGGCAAAACAGTAATGAAACATGCCAATGAAAAGTATCATTGCTTTTTTTGTGAAAGGATGTTTGCTTCGATATGCTTCGATTGCTTTCGGTCAATTTCGAAACTCAGAATGTGCGAAATTCTTTCTACATATTCCTTCCGAGAAGTGTGGCACTTTCTGGCTTTGTGCGAAACGCGAAACTGTTGAGCCAGTTTCACACCATGGTAATCGCGAAAAAGCTACTTTACCTGCAATCTAAACGTCGTTTCGAAAGGTTGATTAGTCTGTTTCGTTTTTCGCGACACACACGTGCCCTGCTTGGGAAGCAATTTAACCTGAAACAAACAATGTCCACAACGGAAACGCCCTTAATTGATTCCCGTAGTTTAATTATGCGATATGTAATTAATAAAAGATACTTAAATAATATAATTAATAAAAGATCTCTGGGAATTTCTTTCGAATATCATACATCCGGCATTTTCTCGGAAACGAAAAAAACTGAAAAGTGTAATTCTACATTTACTACTACACACTGTTATTACAACTATTATTACTACATACAGAAAAAAATCATTCTATTGCTAAGAAGAATGATTGCTCAGTTTTACTTTCCTTCTTGCAGGTAATGGATATTTCTAACAAAGAGCAACAAGAATATTTCCTTGATAATGATCTTCAAATACATTCATCATATCAAATCTTGGACAAGCTTATTATCATATGCTCAAAGAAATTTATTCTCTTTACAAGAATATTATAATAAAACTCTATTCAAGGCTAAAAAATTGGTTTGACTCTAGTGAAAGCAGTGAGTAAAGCGAATTTTTCATGTAATTTAGTATTTTTGATTGAAATACTAAATTTACTGGGATTAGAATGTATTTTGAGCAAATTTAATTCATGTGAGGAACTTATGACAGACTCGTAGATACATGAATTTATAAAATACTTCAAACAAGTGACATTTACTCGAATGCAGTATGCATTTTGCTATGTGTATCCTAGATTTAGCTTCGTGTTTGAAAAGTGATAAATATTCATTATCAGAGCTGTGCGTCAGAACGAAAGTGTAACGTAAACAATTACTAGGCGGAAGTAAATCTGTTCCATTGCATCCAATGACAATGATGACTTACAGAACGAACTCGTGTTTACGCTCAATTGCTCAATTCTAACGTCTCGGAGAAAGTATAACGATTGGCACTGGGAATTGACGCGCGAAAGGGTTAATCCAACACGCGAGCGAGCGAAGAATCGTCGGTAGAAAGTGCGTTCTCGTGTAGAAATTCATGTGACACGCGCTGGGAAATTGTTGGGATCATTAACGCGCCGGTTGACTCGCGGGCTGTCGGGCGGAAAAATCGACAACGACTCCGACGCGGTTCCACGAGCATCGGGGATCGTAAATCGTGTACAACGACCACAGATCCGTGTAGGGTAGGACGACGCAATCGATTGCGCGCGACCAGTTTGCGCTGAGAATTCTAATCGATCGTTTCTTTATCGTCGAGGGATACAATACGTCGCGAGACTGTCGCCGAGATCTCGAGGACGCGCGCAATTCTCGATCGACGATTTGCGCGAACGCGAATTGCATACTGTTGTGAAAATGGCGCGATACTTCGCCGCGACAATCTTTAGTTTCGCGCGGATTTTCTCCATTGCGTAAAATGAGACGAGTCCGGCGGAATTAATTACTTCTTCTAAAAATTGAAGAAACTGAGAAATATCATTAGATCAACAAGTTTGATTAGGTTTCCAATAAACTGCATTGCCCATAGTGCAATTTGTGTAATGCAATTTACTAATGCTGATAATATCCTGAATCTTGACGAACTATCATAGACAATGACGAGAATGGATAATTTATTTTTATCGAATTTACACTCAGAGAAGAAATATCTAAAAAATAAAACAATTACTTTTCGATGAGCATTAATAATATATAATTATTGTGAAATCTGAATTCTTTTATCTAAATAGAAGAAACAATTGCTTTCGTAAGAGAAGCTCCAGTTTTTAAAAAATGTGTATTTCCTACACATTAAAAATAAAAAAAATAAGATTTTTGAAAAATGAATACAAATAAACATGTTATTGATATCCGTCAAATAAACGTTTTTTTTCTATTTTTTAGACATTTTTCCTCTTAATGTGATAAAGTCAAACTTGATTTGAAAATCGCGTCGAATTTTTTTAATTGATCCAATGTCATATCAATAAATATTATTATACGCTGGCTTTGCGTAAAACAACTAACCTGAAGTGCGTCCAAAGCTCCTATAGGGGTGTTTGGATGATGAGGTAGAACCAAGCCGCGTTCGCCGATCGCCTGCAGGGTATAACTCGATGCCGTCAATTTGTGTGCCGTCGCGATCTGCACGAGGAGATCCATCATCGGCGTGCTGCAAACAGTCGGGTTAATGATTTCTCTTAATCCGACACCATGCACACAGAAAAATACCATTCTACAGCTAAGAAAAATGATCACTCAGTTTGCTTTCCTTCTTTTGCGCAATGGCTACACCAACCAAAAAACAACTGAAAATTTATTTGCGAGATAAAAGTTTATTTCGCAGAAATGAACTTTATGTGCTATAAATAAATCTTCAAATGTTTTCTTCTCAGTGTATCTTCAGCAGAGAGAATATCTTCTTGATAATGGTTTTCAAATATATCCATTTCAAATTTCAGAAAAGCTCATTATTATGTACTCAAGAGAAGAATTTATTCTCTTTACGAGAATATTGTAATTATATTCTTTACCGAAGAAAGAGTTAGTGCTAAACTTTATATACACTGAAAAAAAGTCTAAAAATTAACAAATACTTATTAGATAGGTACTATTAATATTATATATTTATTTAAATCAAAATTCTCTTTATTTAAACTGAGTTTAATCGAGTCTGTACTTGGTTTAGGTAAACAATACTCGATTTAAATAAAGAGAGTTTTGATTAAAGTAAATATGTTAATAATATTTATTTAATAATTATTTGTTAATTTAAAATTTTTCTCAGTGTAGTAAACACAGTAATAAGCAAACCGAATTTTCATTTTAATTCAACGTTCTTGATTGAAATGCTAAACTTACTAAGACTCAGAATGTATTCTGAATAAATCTAATACTTGTGAAGAACTCATGATAGATTTGCGGATGTATAAACCTACAAAATACTTGAAGTGACATTTATTTGAATATCACGTGTATTTTTGTGCGTGTATCAACGAATATACAACGTTCGTGTCTGTTACACAGATTTCTGACAAAATTTTTAACACTTCCTTAGAGAGAAACAAAATCCCCGCGTAAATTATTCTCAAGCCTCAATATCGTCTCTGCTTTGCAATCAAGCCGGAGAGAAATGTGCGTAAAATTACACGCTCTTCCATGTTTTACTCGCATACCACTCTTAAAAAACATAGATACTTATCTATGTTCCGTCTTCCACATGTCAAAATGATATCGCCGTCGTAAAATAATTTACTTTACGATATTCTTGCACGGAACTGGAATCCGCGTGAAAAATTTACGATTCACTAAACGTCACGAGTTCATCAAGACGCGCGAAGAAACATAAAATCAAGATTCGCTTCGCAGCAATTTGTAGGAAAAAAAAATTTGCGATTTTTTTCATTTGTATTAACAGTTGAGTGAAATGAGCGATGATCAGTGAGAGAGCGTCGTTTAATTACGACGTATGCGATCATCCGGAGCGAAGCTAATGTATTCTCGAATACAGCTTCGATATTCGGACGGGTATGGAGCCGCAGGCGAATCGTTAGAATCACGAACACGTGTTCACGGCGATGAGGTGCTAATTAGTGGACGACATGATTAGGTTTTATCAACGCTCGCAATTTAGGAGTGCTCGATTGAATGATGGCGAAGTCATCGATCAGCGTGATTCATTTGTGTGCGAGTCCAAAGACTCACATACAAAAAATGCTTATTGCATTTAAGTAACATTTAGGTGAATGTTACTTGTTTTAAATATTTCACCAGTTCACATATTCAACTATAAGTTTTAATTTCCAAGAGGTAATTCCTACACATTCGATCTCTCATTGATAACATTCAATTATCTCTATAACTTTCATATTATTTTAAAGAATTTGGTGAATCAATTTGTCAGAAGCTATAGAAGAGATGGGAAAAAATATATCGGGCATGATAGACTAGGCTGAAAATCGAATCTGGGACCTTTCAATATCCAAGTGACTACTCTATCAACTAAGCTACTTAAACCCACTTCGATATATTGTTTTATTCTTTCTTTCTTTTATTAACAGTCTTAACTATCATAAATTTATCATATACAAAAAAATGCATATTGTATTTAAGTAAATGTTACAGAAATTGCATTTAAGTAAATGTTACTTGTTTCAAGGATTTTATAACTTTATATATCCACAAATTCATCATAAATTTATCATAATCATCAATTTTTTAATATATATTCTGATAAGTTTTCTAGTCAATTTAATATTTTAATGAAGAGTATTAAACTGAAATAAAAATTTGCTTTAATTATTATACAGAGCTAAACCAACTTTTTTTCCGATAAAGTTCCATAATATTCTAAAGAAAATAAATTCTTTTTTGAGTATATAATAAAGAGCTTATCTTAAAATCTTTAAAATTTGTGATGTTTCAAATGTACATTATTCATTTTGAGACTATTATCAAAAAAATATTTACTAGAAAATAATCATTATTTAGAGAAAGGAAAGTAAACTGAGTAATCGCTTTTCTTAGCAAAGTAGAAAGCTATTTTTTTTCGTACAGATTTGTGTATCTACATTGCTGGTGCGTGAGCGTCAATACGTTTATCGTTACATTATTATAAAATAATTTTCATATCGGGAGAAATATTGTTCACGTTAAGAAACACGGTCGCGAACGCTTAATTCGGTGTACGCGATTAGAGTTGGGATATAGTAGTAAGAGAGAACGAAGTTATCATCACGAAACGAACTGTTTTCCAGATGAGGTGTTTTCTAGATCGGTCGGAAGGGTAGATTAAATCGACTTGAACGGACCCGGAGACACAAGACTTTCGTTAGGCTCGAAATGATCGAATAATTCTGAGCAGGCCTGTCGTCATAATTTAAATTTCATGTGGCGAATTAGTCTCACGCGCGCTAAGGAGCGAAGAGGCAATCGCGACGACAGAATGACGCCGTGGGGAGATAAGGAGGCAGTCATTTGGTTACACGGCACACAAACCCGATTTCAACGTACTCCACTCGCGGATCCGCGCGAATAGCTCTTTGATTAATGAACTCGCGTAATAAGCGACAAGGACTATTTGCATAGCCGATCGAGACGCAATAATTTGGAACTCCGGCTTGTAACTCGGACACTTGTGCTGTCGCGACGGTCTGGTTAACAATGATTCACGACCGCGACTGATTGCGCTGCGATTTAACGTTAAATAATAATCCTAACATCTCATTGCTCGACCATTAGTTGTTGATTGTAATTCGCGATGTTATGTAATATAATATGTATATACACGAGGAAGATATAAGCATAGATTATAACAAAATTTTTTAAAAATCTTTTATAATCTACCATATCGAATTATGAAGTTGCTATGTATTTGTTAAAAAATATTATATAAATGTCATTTTTACTGCACAATTATTGCAATTACTTGAATGCTTTTTATATCGTATATTCAATAGTTCGTCATATTTGGTATTTTCATATTGATTTATGCCACAACTTCAGTGTAATACAGCTTTCTTTGCAGAAAACATTATGAAATGAAATATAATCTTAACAAACGTGAAAATTTCACTAAGTTTCACTATAATATTTTCCCCGTGATATGATATAAAAGTGGAACAATAACTATTATCAGTTTGGATATTTTATTAAAGAAAAGAAAAACAAAAGGATCTTCAGGTCTTCAAAGCTAAGATAAAATAATATGTATATATTATTATAAAGAATATGGATATATTCAATATATATGTCTATATTTGGTTGAAGTTTTTATACTCATACTAAAAAAACCAAAACAATAAGAATGTCCATTATTAGGTACTTGCCCGAGCATTGATATACTTTTACCCCTTACTCCATCTGAAGAAACAAGAAAGCGTTACCGAAGCGATTGCTTCTGTACCTACCATTCAATTTCATTTAAATCAATTTCTTTTCCTACTTCATAGATATTCATAATATTCATAATAGATATTCATAATAATACTAGTTATATTGCCTCACCCTTGTATATAACATATATCACACATTGCATTATATAAGAGCGACGTTTTCGCGATTGCGCGACTCTCTTACCGAATTCGGAGGTATGCGATGGAATAAATGAAACGCGGCCACGAGGACGAAGGAAGGAAAGGAAGCGAGCGCGCCTTTACTTGGGGCGAACGAGCCAAGTAAGCTAATTGCAATTTTGAAACTGAAGCTGAATGTTAATTACGCATTCGCCGGCTCAGCTCGACGGGGCAATTTGACCGTGCGTCACGGTGGAGTAGCACGAAAATTACCGGTATTGTAATCGGGAGACGGCCGCGTTCATGAATCCAGAAACTAATCAATCCGACCGTTAGGATAATTTGTCGAATTGTCGATTAGACGATCTCCCTGGTCAAACGGCTCCGTCGCCGTAACGAGCCCCCCGTCAGACAACTGTTTGCCAATCGACTATTTCGGACCCGACAAACCGGTCAAATAAAATATGAACGCGGCTCGTCTGACATTTGTGAGCCAGGGGTAATTGCCGGCCATTCTACTCGCATTTGTCTCGAGCCGGGCGGTTAATGTGGAATTAAACTTTCCAAGCTAATTATGGAATACAATGTCGTTAATTATTACTCATAAACCGATTCCAAGTATAAAGATTGACGAAGATTCTAACAATGAAAAATTCGACACTATACACGGAGAGAATATTATAGTTCTTTTCTTTTTCATATAAATTCCTTTCAAACACAAAATACATCTAATTTGTATTAGTTACAAGTTAAAAAGAATACAATAGTTCAGGTAAACCAAAAGGAATTTAATATCTTATCACAAAACTTTTCCGGGCATATTTAAAGAATTAAAATATTGCAAAGCCCTGTGTCAGATGTAGGTTTACGAAACTTTACTTGTTACAAACAACTTTTTCAAAAAAAAACCCTAACACGCACCAAGACCTTTACAATTTTTATCATTTTTTATTTGACATCAGAGAGCCATTATGTTGATTTGTTTTGTTATTCTTAAACACGTACCTTCGTAACACTGTGACTCTCTGCGTGTGAACATGGTGTTCGAGAGGTAACTGTACCAGAAGCTCCATACTTCCGGCCAGCATGTCTGCCGGGGTGTCCTCGGTCACGGTAAGAACCATTCTGGATGGTCTCTCCTCTCTGCTCCTGGAACATAAATGTATGCTTTCATTAGCGCTATTATTTACTGGATAAAAGTCGATGTCTTGTGTTAAATTTTTGCACAGCGCGCAGAAAACAAAAATGTGGTTGGATTAACCAAAGATCTGGTGAAATAGGAACGAATTCCGGTTAAAGTTGTAAGAATTCTGTTCGTTAACTAAACAAAATTCCTTGTTATACAGAACTTGCTATTGTTCAAGTTGCAATTACGAGAACGAAATAATGGAAAAATTCCTCGAAGTGCACGCTTTTGTAAAATAAAAAGGGAAAAAGATACAAAAGATACAAACGTAAGCAACATTCCCTTGCCTATAAATTATGTAAGAGTATTATAGTCACGAAAACAATATTGGAATTGTAAAAATAAGACATCTTGCATAACTATAAGGATGAGTAATAGCTTCATCGACGATGTATGTGTTTACGTTTAAAGTGCTGTACGATGTCGTGCATTCTAAATTTCCATTCATTGTGCACAAAATATAAATAAATATATATATATATATATATATATATTTAACGATTTTAATATTACATTACATTTGGAAAAAAATATTAGAATTAAATTAAATCAATATTATCATCGTTATTTTGGAAGTACCCCACGAGATAAATATAAATTTGATACCTGAAATTTCTTCCGTACAACGATTGTACAGCAGTTATCTGAAATTATTTGTAAACGAAAAATATTAAAGGCATCAAGGAAAGACAACACTTTATGATTGTACCGTTTGCATGTTTCAATAATGCACAAGAGGTAAGATATGTATGTCGGCACACTTCGTGGAAGATTCGAAGATACGAACGTGACGATAATCGCCTACGACTTCCGCCAACAAACAATGAAGCTGACATGGGTCAGTTTTCGCGTCTTCGTGTCACGTATGTGGCCAATGTCAACCGTTATCGTGGTCTTATTAATATGGAAGAACCACCTTCACTATGTGACCCCCAAAACATACACTTCCATGTAAGCTTCTCATCCGAGTATTTATAACTTACAAACTTATAAATGAATTTATATTAAGAAAAAGTATCGAAAAAATAAAACAATATTTATTCGATGGCCATTAACAATATACTTATTTAACTCTAAACTTCTGTTGTTTGAATAGAATAAAAAATTGTTTTTATGAAAAATAAAAAACGATTTCAAGAAAGTGTAAATTGTCTCACTTGGGATGAAATATTTCTTTAATGGGAAATAGAATACAAAATATATCTAATTTATATGTGCTCTGTAAGTTAAAAAAATAAAAATATATTTAAGTAAATCAAGAGAAATTTAATATTTTATCTTTTTCCAGATATACCACTTTTTAGAGAATTGTAAAAGCTTATAAGAATCGTGTGTCAGATGTTGGTTTACGGAACTTTATTTATTATAAACATAATTTTCAAAAAAGAAAACCCTAACACACATCAAAGTTGTTATAGACTTACAATTTTTTTCCTTTTCAATTTGATACTAGTCTTTTTCAATATGTTATTGCACGAATAAATATGTTATTATGCACTCACTGCAAATGCTTTTTATTTTTTAGATATATCCTTCTCTCAATATACATAAATATAAGAATAAACGTGCGACAAATTTAACGCACAGAAAAATGTCAGGTGTTAAATTTATATTTGTACTTATTTCGCAGAGTACCTCCAAAATAAAGATAATAATGTTGATTTAATTTAATTCTAGTATTTTTCCTAAATGCGCAATATTAAATTCATTAAATACATATTTATTTATATTTTGCGCATTTATTTCATATTTTGCATATTTTGAATGGAAATCTGGAGTGCACGCTTTGAATGCACGCTCGTTTCAACATTTCGAAATTCTGTCTTGATATTGGCTGTTTTCCGTCTGCAGAGCGCGTCACATGCGAAACTTTCGATTTCTTGTGCCATCATTTTCTCCTTAACGTTCGTTAGGCTTCTTCATTTGCTCTTTAACGATTTTACGGTCCGCGGCTCGTAACGGATTACAATCAGTAATCGTCGTGTCGCGCACACACACACACAGATATATACACATACGCGCAGCACGCTGTTAAAACGCCTCTTGTACAAGGAAGCAATTCCTTCGTTTAATTATTATTATTAGATTATACTTAACTTTCGCCTATCGTAAAAGAAAGCGCGATCTTGTCGTGGCGATTATCCTGATTTGGAATTTCGTTATCTAGCCGAGTCTCGTGCAGTCTCGTAGCTTTGTGCTTTTGTTCTTGTCGCGATGCTATTGACTTAACGTTGGCGTGTGCAATTTTTATTCTCGCGATTTCTCGATAACGGCAAATCAAAGGATCGGAGGATCATCTCGGGCTCTTCCCGGAAACTTTATCGAGAGAAAGCCGTTAGCGCGGATGGAGTAATGCATGCAATAATGTTTTATCGCGAGAATAATCGTGCATATCCAAATTGCGAACGTACGGCTGCGCTTTAGGAATGGTGCCACCCGTTACATAATTCGGCGTGCATATTCATACACAACGGCGTGTGGTGGTTCTCTCTTATGTAATTCCGAGAGTCTCTCGTGTATATTTACAAATGGCAAGTGCACGTAAGGATCAGCAACCGGTGTCGTTAATTACACCCACTTCTTCGCAAACCGACGCAAACTACTCTCCTATGTACAGGGTGTTCCGGAGAGCACGCGCCTGCCTTCTCATTGAATTTGAATGAAACTTCGTTTCGTGGAAATGAATGAATTTCATTTCATTTAAAATTGATCAACTTTTTAACTGATCTAGAGACATGTTAATTATATTCTTTGTGGAAAATAATAAAAATAAAGTGTTAAATTAAAATGATAAAATTAAATTAAATTATAAATAAAAAATATAAAAGATTGTACTAAAATTAAATTTAGTTAAAATCAAATTTTTAAAAAATTTTATTAAACTTTGTCCTCATGGAATTAAACCTCATCTTATTTAAAATTAATTAATTTTTTCAACTAATCCAGAAATATGTTAATCATATTCTTTGCGGAAAATAATTAAAATAAAATGTTAAAAATTAAAATGTAAAAACTAAATGAAATTAAATTATAAATCGAAAATTAAATTATATTAAAATTAGTGTTAAAATCTTCAAAAAATTAAATTTGAATGAGACTTCGTCATATACAATTAAACTTCATCTCATTTAAAATTAATAAATTGTTTTGAGTGATCTAGAAATATGTTAACCATATTCTTTGTGGAAAATAAATTAAAGTAAAATGTAAGAAATAAATTAAATTAAATTATGAGTCGAAAATTAAATTGTATTAAAATTAAATTGAATTATATATATATAATCGAAAAACGCATTGATGCGGCATTTGAATTAAACGATGTGAAATTCAGTATTTAATTTTCTTTCTCGTTCCTATTAAAACAAGGTTCAAGTTCAAACAATAAAGTTGCAGTTCACGGATAAGAACGTAGAGTGGCCTCTAATGGTTTGAAACGAGGCACAACGCTCACGAAAGGCTCTCTTCGCCAAAGGAAGCATTGCGAACGATTCGCGAATGACGTGGCACATTTTAACACAGGTTAATGCATGCAGATATCGTACATGAGTAGCTTTCTCCTGTTGTTTCGAGTCGTGTACGTCGATTCGTTCATTCGAAGGACAGCGTAATCGTTGTACGTCGGGCGGGCGAACGGACGATTGTCGTTACATAAACTTGCCATCTACGAGGAACAATGAAAAACTCTTACAGCACTCGAGACCCTCGATAATGTCATCCTGATAATTCACCACGTTATCACCGTATCGCCGTCGCTATTCTGTCTCGAGATACCACCGGTAAGACTACCTTCGAAACGAATCAAGGCAAATATAAGCATCCCCCCCTCTCTCTCTCTCTCTGTTATGTTTAATTTCTATAAAACAAAACCCGTTAATCATATTTCCAATATTGTGAGTGAAAATTTAATTCTCAGATTAAATCTCTCGACAATAATACACCGAGAAAAAAATTTACTAAATTTCAAAAAACGTTTGTTTGGATAGTACTGTGAAGATATTTATTTAAATCAAGTAATAATTTTCTAAAATTAAATAAAGAAGTTTTAAATATAGATTTGTTTCTTTAATTTTAGAAAATAATTACTTAATTTAAACAAATATCTTCAGTCTATCCAAATATCTATCAGTATTATCCAAACAAACGTTTTTAAAATTAAAAAAATTTTTTCTCAGTATACGAGCCAAAACCCAAGTTGAAATTTTAGCTTTCCTTTGACCAACATTTTCTAATATTAGTATTTTTGAAGGATTAGAATATACTCTGTTCGAAGAGATATTTAGTATCTCTAAATCGTACTTTATAAAACGCACAAAATGTATAATTTGCAGAGTATAAAAAGGATTTTTCGGCAAAGTTAAGGTTTAAAAGAATGGAATGAAGTTGATACTTCAAAGTATCAAAATGGGCATTAAAAGGAATATTTTGAAGAGAGATAGAGAGAGAGAGAGAGGGGGGTGAAAGTAAGAGATCAAAATTTCACCATTATTCTAAGATTGAAAACTAAGATAGGAAAATTATATTGTTTAAATATAACAGAATATAAGAGAGAGGGAGAGAGAGAGAGACTCGAATAAAGAGTAAGATAAAGTAAAGGCATTTAGAAAACAAAATCGCGCAAAAACGTTTCTTTGCAACGAAGTCTTAACGGCGTCCTCCAGTCGTGGCATTTCCTGTGAGCGAGATAATCGGCGCTCTAATTATTTCCCCGGTGCACTCTATAAAAACTCTGAGTAGGACGTAAAATCGATAATTGTATTAATTGGCACTTCCCGATTCTACGTCTACGTCCATCGCTTCTTCTGATAAGAAGGACGGGAAGGAAGAGGAAAGAAAAGGAAGGAAGAGGAACGACAGAGGGGGATGCAGTCAGGACGAGCAGGTGGCCGTGTGCTAAAGTAAACGTACGAGTTTCTTGCTCGGTTAGCCGCAAGCTCAAGGTTGCACACAGCCGTGAAGGAAATCC